CGGGCGGAAGAGGAGTTTAGAAGGCGGACCCAGATCAGCCCAGGGATTTCGGGCCCGGAATATCTTTATTGTCACCCCTTTTATTTTTCTCACCAGGGCCCAACATCATTTGTTTGGCCGGATCTGGGCTGATCTGGGTCCGCCTTCTAAACTCCTCTTCCGCCCGCAAAGTCTGGGCCAGGGAATATTTTTATTGTCACCTTATTTATTAGAGGCACACCAACATTACACTGCGGTTTGCGATACAAGTATTGCTGAAACAACCATGTTCATTGTCCTGGGGCTGCATGCCAAGGCATGTGATATCGTGTTCAGACGCGATACAGGCATATCATACATATCTGCAATCAGAGCTTCGCGAAGAAACTTACGTGATTTTGCATAGAGAATTATGGTTGGACGGCTGGGGACCAAAAGTTAAAAGTTCAGATCACAAGCCAAGTTGGTGGCGAGGCTATGCAAAGCCTCCAAGCCGGACGGCTCTGGCAGGAATACCTGTCAAAGATCTTGATATCCTTAGGGGGAAAAGAATCAAAAGAGTTTCCAAGCAATTGGTTCTTTGAGGACTCCGACGGAGTCTTGATACTGAATAGTTATGTCCAATATAGACGATTTGAGTTTGTGTGGTTTAGAAAAACACCATGCACCATGTTGGCGAGCTTTGAGGTCTAAGGTGAAACTTGACCCACAGTGCTTTTTTGGTCCAGGGGGTACTCGTATCCTTGGCGACGGTCCCGGTGCAACCACTTTAATCTTCAACATGCCTGAGTACGCTGAGCCGATAGTCCAGACATGCTGCGAAATCACCGGCGTGAGGGCTGACCAATGACCAATTGCGTAAGGTCACGACCCCGAGCATCGCCGAGTCGGCAATGGCAGACGAAGAAGTCGCTGTACAAGGTCAGCTTCACGACTCTGCTTATCGCATCTTGGTGCAATGTCTTTGGCTAGCACGCCTTTGCAGGGCTGACATAACATTCGCCGTGTCACGCCTAACCTCACGGGGTTACCCGGTGGACCGTGGGAAGATCGTCAAACGTTGCGCCTAGTGTCGTACATCCATCACACACGGGGTTTGACTATGCAAGCATCGTGTTCTCGAGATGCTCCGTGCGAGCTCCGCATATACACAGATGCAGATTTCGCTGCCTGTCCGTTTACCGCCCACAGCACATCAGGCGATGTCGTGCACATAGGAACAGGTTCATGCTCATTCCCGGCGATGTGGCAAAGACGTAAGCTAGCGTCTACTGCCAGGTCAACGCCAGAGGCCGAAATGATTGCAATGGCATATGGCCATCATATGGCATCAGCCATGTTTTCAGAGGTGATCAACTTGCAGACGTTTCTGGAAACGGCATGTAAGAAAACGGTGCCCATGATCTTTCATCAAGACAATGAAACTGCAACTGCCATACTGAAAAGTGGATATAGTGCAGAACTTAGGCACTTAGGACTCAGGACACGTCCATCGCGTCAATGTGGCAAGCATGTCCGAAATTCTTGAACAGGAAGATTATTGAGAACAGCACATGAATACCAAGGACCGGCTAGTTAGCCAACGGTTTGACTAAGGTTGTTCCTCCAGCTGGGTGGCCTGCCATGATTGTACAACTGTGTTTCGGTGGAGGAACCCCCTTCTCATGCGGCAATTTCGAAAGCCATCATCCTAGAAGCAGAGCACTTCGCGAAATCACTATCCAAGAAAGTTGTAGCATCAGACTTGCTGCAGCTGCTCTTGCATTGGCCCAGTGAATCCGCATCAGGCCCAACGCAGAGTGAGGCAACCTGGTTTACCGCTGGTGCATTCGGGGATCGCGGGACCAGGGCAAGCACCATCGCTAGTGTTACTTCGTTTTTGTGTAGGTTCGTCCGTGGTGTCTTGCCAAAACACAAGTTTACTGCAGTAATGTTAGCACGGGACAAGATCACTCCAGTCCATCGTGATTCCTTCAATGAGCCCTGCAGCAAGAACACGATAATTAGCGCCACTCGAAGCTCGAGGGGGGGTCATTTGTGGGCCCAGCGCCAGACGGCCAATGGCGTGCCCGGATCATAGCCGGAGTGAGACAGGCAATCTTCTGAGCCGGCCTGCCATCTTTGATGTTAGGATATTTCATGCTACGACTCCGCGGCTCCTTGTCTTAAGGGCAGAAGAACCGTGGTAATAGCCTGTACATTTTGGAATGTGAGCAAGTTGAGCGTTGAGCACCAATTTCAACTTAGGGCGTTGGGTGTCAACTTCTGAAAGAAGTGACCCGAAATGACACCAAGATACACCAAGTAGTTCGTCTGAAAGTACAGTCCACCATGGGGAGTTATTGGCACATGTGCCGTTTGCACGTTTGCGCATGCTCATGTCAGGTTAGGACACTCAAGTGTGGACTCGCGCGACCCAATTTGGCTCAGGTAAAACAAGTGCTTTGAGTGTTGTGTGTGCTTGCACTATCATTGAACACGTCGGTGTCCCACGTGTTTAACTTACAAGTAGCAGCGCAATAGCTTGCGTCTGTTCCTGCGTTTGGATGCGAAAGCTAACATCACATTCATCGCGCTCCAAACTCGGGCGGAAATCAAAAAACTGACCCGAGTCGGCGGGCAAAGTTGGCATCTCTGCATTTCGTTTGGGCCGCTAGTTTGTCAGACTTTGGCTGGTGCGACCAGGATTTCGTCCGAGACACAAAGCAACGATACATAACAGCGCGCGAAGCTGTATCCACCAGCATCTCGTTTGCATTCGTTGGCAGGCCTGAGCGGATGACGGAGACTCATTGTATCATACATTTGTATCTGGTGTGTTCTTTCTTGACCGTCGCTGGTGTGGTTGCGATGTCGCTTCTGCACTATTCGAGGTCTTGCGGGCTTGGCTGATTCGGTTGCGACCAGGCCATCGCAGCAGTTCGCGAACTGTAGCTGTACGTACTATCCGTAGTTCTTCGGAACATGAGCATGACGCCTCCCTGTCTTCTGTTATTTTCTTTTCCTTCCTTGCAGATGGCGCCGATTGACGGTGGCATCGTTCCATGAACGGCTGGGAAAGTGTTGTTGCTCGGCAAATCTTGTGGATGGATGCGAGCCTTTGCCTGCAACGATGGAACAACAGAGTATGCCCGTGAACTGCTTCTAAGCCAGATATGGAATTCGCACCAAACCAGACCGCCTTGTCCTTGCTTCCCTGTTTTTGCTTGAAATGTATCGTCAGAAGTATCGTCAGAAGACCATAACTATAGTTTTTCGCGGGCTCAAAGCAGCATGTGGTTGAGAACATTCAGGAGTGGCAGCCTTTCAAGCTGGGCGGTCCGATTGTTGATTATGAGTGCAAGGCACAGCTTGTCCACTTCATTTCACATTTCACACAGCGTTTTCGTTCCAGTCCGCCTCACGATTTGTTGCGGTTGCAGATCGGTTTCATGGACTACATGGATGCGATCACCGCCCAGACTATGGAAGGCAATCCCCGCATGTCAAACCACATGTGAAAATGGTGGCATACATACCACGGAGGCGGGAGGGGGTTCACTGACCCGGCGACGCGGCATCGTGTGGTTGGTTACCCCCGCTGCCCCAGCAAAACCCACCCAGAAGCCCAAACCGTTTGGGCCCAACCTCAGGCCGTGAACCAAGATCCGCCCATGTTGAGCCCTTGTGACGTCGCAGGAGCCGTGTTAAGCATCACGGGGTCTACGACCTGCGAACCAAGCATCAAGATTCCCCAAAAGCTTTTGGGACGACAGTTGGTTTCGACGAGTGGGCCCGTGCTAGCACTGACATATGAATTGACACAGACCCGAAAAGTTATGTGGGCACCTTTGTTCTTGGTTGCTGGCCTCGGTGACAATTAAGCCCATCCGTGTAAATAACACGGAAAACACGGGCCCAAAAGTGGGAACCAAGATTCTGCCTGACAGTTTTGTGGGAATCTTGGTGCTTGGCTCCTGGCCTCCATCCGCGTTTATAAGGGCGCGAGCATGAGAACCACCTCCCAGCGCAACCCTTCCAAAAAGTGTCGCCCTAAGTTTTGGAGTCTCCTAGATTCCAACAGCTTAGGCCAATACTAATATTATTATTAGTACCCTTTGGTGATTTCGGAAATCAACAATGTCCGAAAGTTAGGGCGAGACCTTGTTAGGAAGAAATCCAAGAATTAGGGCAGCACGTTGTCACGTTAGGAAATGTGGGACTTCGGGCGAGACGCTTCCGAGAACTAAGTCTTGCTAGAGGCCTGGATATGTTTATATAGATATTGCTTCTTCATATTGTTCTCCGACAAACCAGATGTCAAGCGATTGCATGTCACGTGTCATCCCGACCCCATGACGAACAACAGCTGGCGTGAACTCATGTCGAAAGTTTGAACGATCGAGTTTTTGTTTCCTTATTAATGTCATGGCATATAGGTGGCGTTTAAGCTATTGGTAGACACAACGATATAGAAATCATAGCATGCTCATATCGTCAGGTAAACTGAAGTAAGCCGCATGCGACATTTGGGGTTATGGGAGAGAGTGGGAATGCGTGACCTGGACGATTCGAGAAACATTGCAAACGCACCGGTGCATACAGCCACTACTGACAACGAGCAAGCACTCTGGAAGCTCGAAAACATCGTAATGTCGCAGGGCAAACTCGAACGAAAGGGAGCAGCATGGGGAATATGCGCTAGACAAGTGCGGACCTGGGAGATGTGCAAAACAGCAATTACCATGCTGACCTGAACGATACGAACCAGATTTGCAACTGCGAGCTCATTTCTGCATAGCGACACTATTGGCAACAAATCATTCTGCAGCACTGATTTTCATAACATCTGTGTAAGTGCTGGGAAAATTCATCGTATGGAATTTGCAGTATCAGCAAGACCAGAATGCATTGCTTCAATAGATTTAGTAGCGTTGGTCATGCTAGTGACGTTCTTGATAGGAAGCCAACAGCAGTGGTTCGGTATCCAGAAGTATTACGCCAGCGTAGACTTCCAACAGTGAAAGAAGACTTAACAGTCAGAGTCTTACATACGGCACATACGACGGAACCGCGTTTAAGCCTCCCAAAATGCAACTCAGAACGCTGCATTGCGACGGGAACACAAGTGACGGGAGCATGATTCCAGGAGGCGAAAGTGCTACCGATGTGGCTTCTGGGGTGGGCCTTAGACTGGCAGATAGCATATGTGTTATATACATATATATATATGTATATGTATATATATATATACATATGTATACATATACATGCTTTATGTATACCTCATACATAAATACATACATACATACAGTACATACACACACACACATATATATATATATACAGGCATACCTGTTATGCATGTTGCCAGCCACTTGCACAAGCATAGATCAAAGGCGCACTAGTGCTGAGATCGCTGCTGTTTTGCTGAATTTCGTCCGAAATCTTGCAGACCTGTGGCATGAGGGGTTCAATGTGCATGGGTGTACATATCTAAGCAGTCTATACAGTCTTGCAGTAGGAGTAGTAGTAGTAGTCGTCGTCGTCGTCGTAGTAGTCGTAGTAGTAGTGGTAGTAGTGGTGGTGGTAGTAGTCGTCATCGTAGCAGTAGTATTAGTCGTCGTAGTAGTAGTAGTAGTTGTTGTTGTTGTAGTTGTAGTTAAGTTGTAGTTGTAGTTGTAGTTGCAGTAGTAGTAGTCGTCGTCGTCTACTACTACTACTACTACTACTACGACTACTACTACTACTACTAACTACTACTACTACTACTACTACTACTACTACGACTACTACGACGACGACGACGACTATAACAGCTACTGCTACTGTACGACTACTACGACTGCTACGGCTACTGCCACAGATGCAACCACTACTACGTACCAGCTTGTCGAGCGAAAGACCAGCGAAAGGCGAGAAACTGCGGCACATAGACCAACTCTGGCTGAAAGAATAATTACTGACTTAACGACGCTCACCTGGAGAAGTTGCCAGGTGGAATGGCAACAGCTTGGATCTTTGTTTCGGTTACCGAGCTTGTAGCCGTGCGGAGCACGACGGTTCTCAGCGTAAAACGTGGCTTTGCTTTGCACGACTGGCTTGTGGAGGAGCCTCCAGCAATACATCAGAAGTGGACAACATTCTGGACCAATGTGCTGCCTCAAAAGTCCACAGCCCAGATCGTTTTAGAGACGCGAAGACTTCGCAAAGCACTGGCTGTGGCTTGATTGAAACTCAGGGCTGGCAGTACCAATCCTGGGTGCTCTGGTTGCGAATTGGAAATCGGCTGTTGCCGTGCCCTTTCAAGCGGCCAACTGTTCAGATCGTTTTGCATCCAAGGAATGGTCCCCACCTGCTGGCAATATCAGCATACCCGCTGAGGTAGTTGCTGTGCCACCAGTTCCTGTCGTTGCCCTGCATCATTTGGAGACATCCGTTGTGGTGCCGGATGTCGTCAAGCCAACTGACAACCTCATCGTCGCAGTGCCGGTAGACGCTTCGTCAGACTAAACGAGAAGTTGTGCGGTTCTTCCGTCTCGTCCTCGTGATCGTCTCGAGGACAACAGCGAGTCGCACCAGCCGGCAAAACAAGAAGTCAGTGGTGGTGCCCCTCGCGAAGCTCTCCAGCCAAACGAAACTGCTCTGGACATGGAGCTTGACGATTGCTTGATGCAGACACGTGCGGTTCGCTGTTTGCACTGCGAACGGAAGGATCTCGATGTGGAGACGGTCAGCAGTGGTATCAAGGACCGGCTTTTGCTACAAATTATGTACAGGAGAGTTGATTATCATGCTATTGACGTCTGCCAGGACATTGTTGGGCTGCCAGATTTACAGCCAGCAGATCAGGCGTGAGAGCTGCTCAAGTTGACTGCATGGCTTGCATTACTTAGGCAGAAGCTGTCTAGGGAGAAGTAAAGCCACAGATGCCCCGACAGGCACCCAAAGTCGCAGAGAGCCAGGACACCCGTACAATTTCTTGCAGGTTGCTGCGCCAATCCACAAGTTGGGCATACGAGAGATTGTGACAGAGGAGAAACAAGCTGAGGGTATGGATGCTCCTGGGCCGAAGCATCACCCGATCTTCTTGAAAATGAACTAATCAGTGAAGGTCCTTTGCTCGCGTGCTGTTTTTATGCGGAGGAAGCAGTGTCAGACCTGATTGATGTTGTTGTGCAATTCAGCTCGTCATGCCTGCGTGTAGCTGCGGTGTTTTTGGAAGCCGCGCCTAGGTACTTTTGGTAACCTGCACAAACCTGTTCTAAGATGCAGCGTCCACTCCCAAGGAATTGGATCGAGCTGCTGAAGAATTGGCTGCAGCCGAGCGGGCTGTCTCTTTGCTGCCAAGCTCTGGCCAGACTGCTCCGGCCGATGCGTCTTGGGCAAAAAGCGCAGGCGAGCTGGCCTCTCCAGGCTGTGTAGACCGAGGCCAGCGCTCAACAGCTTGTTCAGTCTGCTCGGCTCCCAGTCGAAAACGCATGTCCAAGCGTTACATGCCTCGCCGACCACCCAGGACCCCGCTGCTGCTGTGGAAGTCAACGCGAGTGTCGTTCCGAATGTTGTGCCCGGCGGTTGGACAAAGGCACAGCAAGGTCCACAGGACAGCGATCGGGGAGCAGGTTCCCGGCAACATGATCCGCATGGTAAAATCCACGAAGAAAGCAGGCATAACTATGCATAACCATTGTCCATTGCCCCGCCTTCAAGTGCATCTCCTCATGCTCACCTGTCAGGCAAATCAAGCTTGCAAAAACGCCAGATTATGCGGGCGTCTGGCGATGCTGGACATGCTCTGGAGGATGAGCACAGAAGGCTGTCACAAAAGAATGCCGGCCGGAGACATGCGCGGGACGACGAGCTGTTTCGCGAGTCGGTTCGCAAGCTCAATGCTCTGCAACAAGGGGGATGAAGCCGTCAGCAGCATGTGCTCTGCATGACGTGGGCACCCTGGGGCATTGAAAGCAGAGTGTTTTGTTGCCACGCTGAGTGAACAAAAGCCTGCACAGCTCGATTTCAAGCTGCTTGGTCCGTTGATGAAGGCATGCTGTGTCAGTTTCAAGCTTTGCAATTTACGTAGTCCATGTTGCCATCCTCACCATTGAGGAGACCGGCACTCGTGGCTGGCGCCTGTGCAGCGTTGACACCAACCGGCACGAATCTTATATCACTTTAAGATAACATCGCATGATGCGTAAACGCAGAAGTTTTGACGGACCATTCAGGTAGTTGGGCTTTCGTGGCCACCAGTCCAGCTGTTGAGGCTCTGCTGCTTTCTTCCGCTTTGACCGCTGAGTTTCCGAAGAGCACAGTCTGAACGCCCTTCCAGCCGTAACGGACGGATCCTGTGTTCGTGTTGCGTCGTTCAGCTACAGTCCCAGCCGCATGCTGGATTCAAACATTTTTCGGGTCAACGAGGAGGGCTGGCGGCGGCAGTTGTAGCATAGAAGAGGGGTCGTAAGTACAGTGACGCTGGGGAAGAGATCCGAGAAGAGGAGGACTCGGCACAGTTTGTCTAATGTTTGCCGACCGCACCTCGCACAGCCTAGCTATCAGCCGCATATTCACCCGAATCACCAGAATTCACTGGATGAGCCAAGAGCTGTCTAAGGCCCGAGCGATGCATGAAATCATCCCTGTCCTTCTTTTTTGACTTTTGACTGAAAACTCAGCAGAGCTGTACCGCCTAAGTAATCAGGATGTACGACGACACACGTTAGCCAAGCGATCGCCGTCCTTCCAGAGGCTGCTTCTGGTCGTGAGGCTGTGATGTTGCCTGTCTATGTTCGGACCGTCAACATTTCTGCCATGGACAACTGTGATTCTGGAGGTTCTCCGTGGTTATCCACTGTTTGCTTTGTAGGGAGAAAGGTGGGCAGTTGGCTGGTCGAAAGCCTCGCGGCCGAAACTCAAATGCAAACTGCTACTGTGCGGGTGTCTACCGTCCTTGGAGCTACTGTGAGCACCCGTCTGTCTCCGTTTCCACAGCCTATTTCTTCAACATTTTCAATTTTACGCTCCGACTCATGCGTCTCGCTTCTAGAGCCCCGGCCTGCCCGCAGCATCATCACAAAGGCTTCACTGAAGGAAAGAGCAAGTTTGCAACTGTTGCACGTCGAAATGTCGAAAGTGCATCGACTCGACACGCTTCCTGGTTTTGCATTTCTGTTGCGCAGTCTGTGGGCGTGGAGTCAGCAAACCACGGTTCCTTTCGGTTCGGTTTGTAATGAGTTGAACCGTTTATGAACCGGATGCTTAAATGTAATCCTGGAAGGCTGGGAGACATTTGCGAGCAAGGCCTGCCGAGCACGGAAAACTTCAGATGTTTGAGTCGATTTGGGAGAAAGCTACTGTAATCTACTAGTTCGTGTTCCTACAACTGCCTCGAAGGCCGCTTGCGAGCGCCTCCACAGTGCCCACGAGCAGATGCAGTGCCTGTAGGCAGGGCAGGGCAGGGCAGGGCAGGGCGTGGCAGCGATTTCTGTGGGAGTGTGGGAAGCAAGCCTGGGCTCGAAGGAATGTGCAGGACGGGTCCAAGACCACTCATCGAGAGGCTTCATATTCTGTGTGTCTCGCAGCGCCGCTATGTCCTGCACATGTGCTAAGAAAATCTGGCAGATTCCATGCTTCAGGTGGGTGCAGAGGCTGCTTCAGGCCGACATGCATCACCTAAGTCCTGCTTCCAGAACGGGCTTTGTAATTCAAGCATCTCGAGGTGCGTTTTCGATCAAGGGCTCTGCCTTGGGTGCAGCCTTGGCCTAAAGGCAACACCTGTGGCCATTTCTCCAACCATGAGTATACATGCTCAGATCCGATTGTTTGCTAGTTTGCTCTCGCCCAAGGCAGCAATTCTTGGCGTGCGTCGAGTCTTGGGACACCGGTGCAGGCAGCCGGTTCAGCGTGCACAGCTGGGCTCCAAGTTTGACACATTACAACGTTTTGTAAACCAAGAGTGCGCCATTGTTTGTTGTACATTGACGCTGCCACGAGATTCTGAGGTCTCCTTTCGCAGAGATTGCATTTGCTGCTGCCCTCTATGGAACTGTGCGTGCTGCTGTATTCCTGGCAAAGGTTGCTGATGTACGTACTATCTTCTGCCGGAAAGGTTGCCGCCGCATTGTATATTCTATGTGTTCTGTCCTGGAAGGTTGTGGAAGAAACATGCTTGAAGTATAAGCTTGACTTGAGAGTGGTAGACTGGTGGACCAGGAGATGCTTGTTGTGTCCGTGCAGTGTTGTTTTATGCTGCTACTAACAGCATCCGCCATGAGATGCAGAAAGGTATTACTTTTTATGACAGATTTTGAAGAAAATGATAAATGCTTGTACCTATCTCCATCTAATAGCATCCATAGATATCCATAGCGAGCAATGCAAGGCATTTCCTTTCCTGTGTTCGATCAGGCAGCTGGCAAGTTGAATCTGCAGCGAAAGAAAGGGCAGTCGTACAAAATGCGTACTTACGTAATTTGGTGTAACTTGGTGGACGCTGCACATTCCCGAATCTACAAGGGTCATCTGCCATTATTGCGAGCCAGGCGCATGCATGGGCCAAGACCTCGGATCCGAGCTGTCTACTGCTCACAAGCCAGTTATTCGTGTGGTCAGCTGGTGTCAGCTGCATTCGGGCAGTTCCATAGGTGTCGGCGACCGACAGCTTCGCTTTGCGCGACGAACTCTTTCAGGAGCATATCTGAAACTGGAAGCTAATTAGCACTTTCATCCAGCTCCGTGCTTCAGTGCCAAATTGAGTGACGGATCGCTGGGCAGGACATGGCAGTGGCCCACACTTATAAAAACTCCATTCGGCCATGGATTCAGTCACGGCCTTGATGTTTGGCTATCCACAGTCCTTCCCTCTCTGACCACATGTGGCGTGCCGTTGGCAGGTCGGGGGTCATTGCTCTGATCTCGAGCATCTTCGTAGTTTTTGCGGTCAAGGCAGCGCCTCATCCGATTCGGGCTGTAGATGTTCTCAACTACCTGCACAGGAGTTTATCAAGTCGATGAAAGAGTGGGAACAGCAGCAGGAAGTGAAAGAGATGTCCGCGATGGGAGAGGCACCCTCGGAGTAGATTGCAGATCAGAACCGGGGCAGAGCTTTGGATGAGGACGCCCTGTTTCTGATGTCCACTCCGGTCGATGCGACACCGCTCGAAAAAAAGAAAGACAGGATGAGGAGAAGCTCAAGACTCGCCAACTCTTGGTACCTGTGTGTCTGTGAGAGGAAGCGCCTAACACCGCTGCCAATGCGGCTTCTCGGAGGCCACCAGGGCACCAACGGTGCGTCTGATCGCAGCATCTGAAGTGCAAGAGCCTGCAGGTCTTCTGGACAAAGTATGGCTACTGCGTGTTGGTGCATGCGTTGGGTGCGACCCGAACATGTAAATTTGGCCCTCGCTTGGAAGAAGAGATTTGCAAGGCTTGTCTCAAGACTGTTTTTTTCGACCAGGTACCTGCTTCCGTTCCTCAATGTGGCCGCCTTGGGACGCAAGCAAGCCAACTAGAGCACATGCCCGCATGCTGGAAGTACTGTTGCCAGGCTTTGGACTTCGGCGAGATCTCAATCTCGCTTTATCCGCCTTGCCCCAAGATGCATGAAAGCCCGGACCTAATAGCGTGCAACACGGTCGTTCTAGCTGCTAGCTGCACAAGGTATGCTGTGGGAGTCCCGCCCTGTGAGCCAATCGTCAACTTCATGCAGCACACCCTCAAAATGTACGAATCCTACATGGGTCTCCAAAACACTGAGCACACAGTTATCAAGATGTCATTCGCAAGCTTTAGCAACGCCTCTCAAGCCGCTTGGCCCAGGCGCTATCTATACAATGCCTACTTGAAGCAGCTTGGCCGCTGTTGACACAGGGTCCGATGTATAGCTGAGCTGACTCAGAACAGGCTGTCAAGCTATCATCTAGGCAGACAAAGGGACTCGTTGCAGTATACTTTAACATACCTCCGCTGAAAGCCCCCGCAATTGCAGAAAAGAAGCGGAAACACCACAGAACGTCGGACCGATCGCTAGAATCATACGTCCTGCACGAGAAGTCGAACGCTGCATCGGAGAATGGTCACGGCCACATCACCCCCGTGCAGCATAGAACATGAAGAGCATACTGCCATTCTCGTCATTAATTGCTCTGGGGCTGGTCCACCCCGGCAGGGCTACTTCATGCGTCCCCTTACGGGCGCTGCTGGGAGACTGGTGGTAGGTTCCAGGATGTTGAGTTTTTGCCGGGGCAGGGAGGGCTTACTAGACAAGGGCCTTGGTTACTCACGTGTCATCACAACCAGGTCGGCAGATCCTGCAGCATCGTTTGTTTGTGTGCTTGTGCTTGTATATCCCTGTATAGACATGTCTGGCGGGAAAGTGGCAACCCGGAGGAAAGACCGCTGCGGAGTTAATTAGTGAACTGTTGCCGATCTGCTGCTCACGTTCGGTAGAGAGCACGACAAACAAGTCGATGCATCACACGGAAGTAACGGCATGAATCCACACGAAATACTCTTCACATGAGAGAAATAAATGCATGCATCCCCAGGCGGACATATGCCAGTGGACGACCACCACAAACAAAAACTTGGCCGTGCCACAACGCAAGCAGTACTTGCAACAGCCGCGAAGCTGATCAAGAAAGGTGAGAGGCAGAAGCTTATATAAGTCGGAACGGCCAAACTGCGAGAAGAGTAATCCGAAACTGTGGTTGGATGAGTTACGGCGAGCCACGACCAATGCGGGGAGGGGAGAAGTCCCGAGAATAGTGAAAACATGGCCGATATGCACGACAGGCACCTCCTCGTGAGTAAGATGCTCGTGTGCCATTGTCGGCAATCTGGAAATCTCGTTCATGGGCCCACGAGAAGCTCGCCGAAGAACTAGCATAAAGGCGCTGTTGTTTGTTTGGGTGCAGGTGGGGACGGCCACTGTTGTGGCTCTTGCTGTCAGGTTTTCTGATCCAAGATATCCAGTTGTGGGACACAAAGAGTCTTTAATAGTACAGAAGAGTAAGGCTACCCAGAGTCAACAACAACGCGAACGAAAGCGATCCGCAAGTAAACTAAAGTCTCAGACGACTGTTAATTTGCGCCTCGACGATGCATCCCTAAATGATGCTTTCTGGAGCAGGTCCGGATACTACTTCCTCATCGTATGGTTCCTCTTCATTCAGCTAGCCGTGAGAAACAAGGCGACAGGATGTGCCCACAACCTCCGAGTTTACACGGCTCTCTGATAGCGCAGGCTGCCCCATTTTACGTGCGCTTCCACTCCTCGCAGGTGCTGGCGTTTGCCTCATCTTTTGTTGGAAAGTCTCGTTCTTTGCCTCTTCGAGGCGATTTTGATCTCCATGCTCTTGGGAGTCCCACAGCAGGCGCTCAGCACAGCACTGCAGAAGCATAGCAGCTGTGACGTAGCACCATCATACTCAACCTTGGCCCTGAAGCCTGTGTCATGTTCTGCAAACATCTGTAAACTCCGTACAAGAAGCGGCAATCGGCTGGCTCAGGTTTTCTTTGCTGTGCTAAATCCATGGGAGTCTGGCCTTTGGGTACAGACTTTCATGTGCCCTGCAGCAGCTTGTGCACGATCCAGTACAGCCACTGTCGGGAGCAGCGTCCAGGTACCACAGCATGGTGTCAATCTTTCTCTTCATCGTGTGCCTCCTTCTGTGGTGTTGTGCAGCGCCAAGGGTTGAATGTGCGAAGCATTGCGAAGCCGAATGCAGCGAGTCTGTTGTTGTGTCTTCGCAACTGGCGCCGAGGTTTAAATGCTTTGATGAAGCGTCAAATGGCCATGCCGTTGGTTTCAGAGGCCTGTGTGATGAAGCTTGCTTGGCATGGCTTCAGACTGCGCAGATTTGGGGACTGTTTCGAGGCTGCCGTGATGTGGGCGGGAAAAGAGTGAGAATGGCTGAGCCGTGTGTAGACAAGGCACAGACATGAGCTAAAGCCAAGCAGCGCAGCGAACTAGCGTCAGGCAAGTTCCAGTGCTTTGTAGCCCGGGCCACCCAACCGCATGAAGGCTTTGAGCCAATGCTGCAGTCGCGGCGAGCGCGTTTCTCCTAATGTGCGCCTGGACTGACAAATCTGTTTGGGTGTAGGGGCGCGGACCCCTCTGAACTGGTCAGCAGCTGATGCCGGGACATAGGTCCTGCATGCCCAAACTTCGTTGTGGTAGTACACAAAGCTGCGCAGTTGGTACAAGACTTCAGTACCCTGTGAAAAAGTGCCTTCCGCATGTTCAGAGTACGTGGCGGAATCGCAATGCACTGAGTTGAGTCAGTCAGGCTCGAACAGTTAAGCCAAATTATAGTTCCAAGTCATTCAGTGGGCAAGGGTGCACTCAGCACGAACGATTAAGCATGGATGAAAAGCAGCGCGATCTTCATTAGTATGCAATCCAAGAAGCCATCCTTCAGTCTATTGCAAGTTTGTTGAGGCGGGCCTCAGTCAAGGCAGCCTAGTGCCCAGGCAAGGATCATAAACCTGTCGCAGTGCGGCAAAAATGGTTAACAGCACATCGGAACCCAAACCCGAAACCCCGAACTTAAGCCTGAACTCTGCCGAACAACTCCTCTGCCTTCAGTAGCCAGAAGACGATCTGATCCTGACCAAGCCACTCCTTTGCCAGGTTCATGTCCCCAATTGTGATGGTCGGACCATGCGAACCGCAGGCCGTCAGCAAACCGAACCACAGGTGGTCAGCAGACAAAGTGCGGGCTTTCGCGCAAAGGTGCCGTCGAAGGTCCCTGTCTGCACTTCGCCTTGGCGAGGGAGACTTGCAGAACGTGGAAGCCTTCGTTTTGCATGCTGCATGCATCCCTGTCGGAAGGGGTTCCTTACGGCATTTGCTTCAGGGCAGTGGCGGCGAATCTCTACAGTTTCTGCAGCACTCACCACGGTGTCCGGGCCAGCTCTGCATATCAAGAAGCCCATCCCATGCACAGACTCCTGTCTAAAGCAACGGTAGCGTCCGAGAGACGAGCCTTTCAGTTGACAGAACACGCCCCACTTGTGACGCCTGCTTGGTGCCCGAGCATATTTTGAGCCGAGGCAGTCCATGACCAGACAATAGGCCCGCCATCGCTGCAAGTGATTGGCATCTCTGCGACGAAAGCGGCATGCCGGTGGGAATAACCAGTCTATCAAGATTTCCAAGGCCGTGTGAAACGATGCCACGGACGTCTCGCCAGGGTGGCACTTCAGCAATCTATCCCCTGCACGTAGGACTGCAGCTGTCCCAGCATGAGGGTTCGCGTGCTGTCATGTCATCACATCGCCATGTTTGAAGGTTTCCGGCCCAAGCCAGAACTTTGAGAATCCCCTTCAAAATGTGACTCAAACTGCATTGCCTGACCCGATGCATCAAGCCAGGATTGTCCGGGCCTCTGTGGTTGCTGGAGTAGGGCCTTTCATGTGGGTTTTCAATGCCCAAATCCAACAAGCACTGGAGGCCGCGATAAGAAACTTTGGCGTACCAGAGCACGGGGAGCACCGTAATACTGCTGCTGCCGGAGTCAGGTCACAGAACCGGAACGTCCCTGCTGACATGTAATGACGCCTTTTCCCCAGACCCATGTACATGTGCAGCGCGAGGAGCGCGTTGAGCGCCTCTGGCCAAAGCCTCGGGACAAGCGGCTGCCGAGATGACGCCTCTACGAATCAAGCGGCTTCCAAACATGCCTCAATACATACATCGTCATCCTGGCAGGCTCAAAGTCACAACGGGGAAGGTTCAAAGTTTGTCGGAGGCTCATCGCCGGAAGTAGCTTCACAACAAGCAGAAGCGAAACATGGTCCACAAATAGCTCTACTATGGCAGCCTCCACAACAGGTGCGCTGAGCACAGACGCCGAGGGGGAGGAGGTGGGCCTGACACAGACCACCCCGAACACATCCCACAAAGGAGAAAAAGGCCCACCGCCACCACCGTGCCAGACAAGGCCAACCCCGCCGCCGCCGCAGCCAGAAGTAGCGCGAGTGCTAGGCTATCCAGAAGGGACAAGCTGGGTGCTGGAAGCAGGGGTCTGGACGCGCATGGCTCGCCGGCCGAGGGCATGTCCCTGGGAGATGCAACCAGCGACAGGGGCCAGCCAAACATCTCCGGGAAATTTCGACAACGCCTTGCCAGGAAGTTCGGGAAGCAGGGAGGAGGGGGAGGAGTGTCGCCCCAAGACCCCGACCCAGCAGCAAATGCAGCAACAACGACCACCATCACGGACACCGGCACACAACAACCACCACCGCAGCAACAGCAGACCGGCCCGCCATTGGGGACCCAGCAAACCGCAGAACACGGACAGAGCAAGGGCAGCAGCCCGACCCGTATGAGCACACGCGAGAGACGCGCAGCTCTCCGTGCCAAAGGGTTTCACAAGCCCGAGCACATGACTCGTGGGTCGGCATCACACCCTTCGACGCAGGGGGCGAACAAACACTATGCCCGGGACCGTTACCTCGCAAAGAACTTGGGGCAATGGACACCAAGCAGACTCAGCGATCCCGGGGCGACCCTCACCTTCTATGCCCGTGCGTCTTCGTCAAGTGCTACAAGAAAGGATCCCTGACGAGATCCGTGACACGGATGGCAGGTTCAACCACTTCACCTACACCTGGCGAGGATATCTCCCTCCATCTCCCTCCGATGTCGTGGCCCTTAGAGCTCCCGCTCTCCGCCAACACGTACTTGCATCTGCGATATCTGGCACTCGGGAGAGTGCGTACAAGGGGCTTCGCCACAAGCTGCACTCCAAGGCGAACAGTCCGGCTTCATCTCTGCGGACAGCCGCCGCCTGCGAAAGGAGAACAACCGCCCACACAACCGGGGCAGCTTCTTCCGTGGCATATGCATGGAGGGCGACAGCAAAGAGACGGCACCCACAGAGCAGGCCGAGGGGGGCGCAAGGACGGCAGCCACGCCAAGACAAAAGCCTCCACCGCCCCAAGCAGTTCGGAAAGCCTCGTCCTGCGCAGGAGGATGCTATGTACACTACGGCAACTTCATGCTGGGAAATTGCGGAAGGGGCGAGTCGCAATGCCCAAGCCCTAGCTGGCCCTGGTGGCGATAAGACAGATCCTCCGAGATACGTTGGGGAGCACCATGATACGAAGTGAGCTACAGGACGTCCGTGCCCTCCTCGAAGAAGCCCATGCAGACTTCGGCACCTCGATCTGCTCCTCAGACACAGGGGAGCTTCAAACAGGCTAGGACAGCCTAGCCTCGGGGATGGACGTGCTTGAGGAGATCCTGTTGAACTACGAGGCAGAGTTTCTCACCATGCATGCAGCTGCACTTCAGTCAGACATGCTCCGTCTACAAGAACACCTGCAAGTCGTGGCCCCGATCCACGACAGGGGGACATCAGGGGGAGCTCCCGTGGTCAGGTGAACTGGCCGCCCAGCGCCCTCCTCCGCCATCCGCCTTCCCCGGCTTCCCCTAATAGCAGTTTAACGTTTAATTCGCCCCAGTGCCCCCCAGCGCCCTCCTCCGCCCTTCCCGCGCTCGAGGAATACATGGACGGCATGGACGCCCAGCAACCACCACGGAGGGGAAGGGGACATCGCGAACCTCGACTGCTGTCCGTGCTATGCTGGAGCAAGAATATCCCGACCTTGACCCACGACTGGAAGACCAAATGTGGCTCCGCAGATGGCGGGCAGCGCTCGAGGAAAATATCGACGGCATGGACACCAGCAACTATACCACTGAGGGGAAGGGGACATCGCGCACCTCATGCAGACCGTGCAAAGCATAGGACGCCTTCGAGAACACCGACCGCTGCCCCCACACAGGGGAACGCAGATGCGTTAGAATGCGAGCAGGCGTCAACAACTACCACCACGAGTCACGAGCAGGGGGAGCGAGACTAGAAGCCGCAGCCCACCACAATCAACGCTGGCCGAACCAGAGGGAGGGAGACACCTACGACGAGGAGATGACCGTGCCGTGGATCCCACCACCACCAGCAACCCACCATTGCCGCCGCAAGGGGAAGACTCTATGCCGGGAACAAGTACGGAGGAGGAACTATGTCCAATGAAACGGAGGCGGCAGCCCACGAACACGGGGAGGCGATGAGAGCAGAAAGTCAGCAGCGGGGGAGCACATGGTCGAGGCAATGCGCATGGCCAATGCAGCGGGGCGACCGGGTGTGACAGACCGGCAGCTTCGTCCCGCCTAGCACAGCTGCACACTTCAGGGGAGGTGGGGGCGCACCACTCCCCACCCAATCGCAGCTATCACGGTAAGGATCATGGGGGCCAAGCGAGCTTCTTGAACTCGTACAAGCGGGTGGTGCACTCCTTGTGAGGGGGACGCAATTGGCAAGTGACACACTGCCAGTGCCAGCAACGGACGTGATGCAACCGGCGCAGGGGGGGGAAAGAACAGGAATCCCGAGCAGACCGCCCAACGCCGTGAAGGCGGGGCACCTGCGAAAGCTCCTCCCATTCCAAGCCAACAGAGCCATGCACTACTTCGACGTGTGGACGGAGGAGCATTGCGGGGGCGACGTGGAACTGGTGAACAGTGGAGAAGACTTAGCTAACGAGCAACCCCTTCTACTTCCGGGAGCAGCAGCCAGTTCTTCAGGGGGACGTCGACCCAGCCCCAGGCTAACTGAAAGAAGCCGTGACGGGCGCGACCGTAGGGCCAGGAGACGCAGCTTCACCAACCCTTGCCACATATAGCAGGATGACTAAGCGTCTGGGGTTGGTTTGCCTTCATGGTCTATGAGGCCGTGTTGACTAAGTCGTTGAGGCCTGACAGAACAATCTGTCGGGGAGCCAGGGAGAGAATCTGATGCTGTACCCACCCATGGTCAGATGGGGAGGCAGGTTAGGTGGGGATGCAGAGTAGTGCAGACACGTCCGAACCCGGGGCAAAGGGGGAAGTGGCCATGCTGATCGATAGCTTATGTTCTAACAGCGTACCTTAGTGGAGTTGGTGTTATTGCTTAGGTATCCTCTGCTACCAGTAGTTTGTGATGAAGGCCAAGAGATTCTCCCAGTAGTTGTACCTGGAGGGACCGTGGAAGACCCGATTGCAGCTTGCAGGTTATAGATGGTCATGGTTTAGGAGTCTAGGAGGCGTATCTTCGGGGGGGATGGGTCCCAAGCTCAATCGGCGGAGGAACACGTGTTCTCTCAACCCCACGAAGACCTTTGGATCGCACAGGGTTCACCAGGGAGCCCATACCGCTAGCTAGCAAGCTAGCACGCAAGCAAACAAGCAAGAGAGAGAGAGAGAAACCGGCGAGAGGCAACCCTCGTCCGTAGCCCTGGCGAAAGAAAGAAATACTTCCTCAATAATAACACATGGGGGGCCCTAGTGGCCGGGGGGCTTAAACCGCCTCCCATGCCCTGGCGAAGAAGAAGAGAGAATACGCCCCCAAAGCCCCACAGATGGGGGGCCCTAAGGGCCGGGGGGACCAACATGCCCCTCTAACCCGAAGGAAGAAGAAGAGAGAATACAAAACATCCCCCGATGATGTGTTAAACCCCCTCCTGATATTGAAACTGGCTTTCCGTCAAGATGCTGAAAAAAAATAAGCGTGATAACTTTGAACTTTGAGCATTCACTTTGCGCCGAACTTTCTTCTAAATTTTTTAAACCCTTCTCTTGGCAGGCCGCAGACCCTGCAGTCTTCCGTGAAATCAACACAGCCCGGATATGCGATTGAAAATGATATTCAAGAGCCATGTAGAGAAAGCATACGACGCCCTAAGTTTCAAGATGTTTCAAGACTACATGGTTCTTGAATGTCATTTTCTGAAGCATATCTGCACTGTGTTGACTTTTGCTGGCAGTCGTGGGTTCAGAGCCCATTTTTCTTCCTTCCATATAATAAACCTTGCTTGCCACAACCCCGGCATTAACTTATCAACGTGTGACCTATCAGGGAGACTGCCATCCAAAGTAAAGCCCTGTCCTTGCAGCACCTGGAATCCAATGCGACAGATTCCAGAAAAGCACACGGTAACTTAAGTGCGCGCGTGGCCCGTGGCCCTAGTAGCCCCAGTTGTAATGCAGTCTTGGCCTTCTTAAAATTCTTCTTTGAGCCAATTCTGAGCCAAATGCTCTCTGGGAATCAGGTGTTGTTTGGGGAGGGCTTAGTAATCGGAGGAAGTGATTACATTCATGTAAATTCAGCTCAATGACGTTCTGTTTGCAGAACGTCTGGCCTTCGTGAAGCAGCGCCGAGCATGCGTTTCTAGGTATATACGCAACAGGACCGACTCACGGACCCCAAGCGCAAGCCTCACTCTCTCAGTCTAACGAGGGAGCCAGGTTCAACAGCAGCAGACATTAAGCTCTGTTAACATGGACTAGCATCTATTATAAGTCTTCCCGATCAACTCCGAAGCCATCCGCTTTTCCCAAAGCATTGTCGAATCACAAAAACTGGAGGGGATGCAAATTCGAAGGGCTCCGAAAATGTCATGCATGCAGAGAAGGTTGGACATGTGTTCGCCCGATGGGCAAGAGCCACTTCAAACGGACTCGACTGAAACGGCAGCTCTTCCCAACAGATCTTTCAACATCAAGCGATAAAATATTGACTCGCATTTAGATGACGGGACTTAGTGGACAATTGGCCGAGCCGCCGTAGCCGTGAGTCATGGCGAGGGTTCGCGTGACCTTTGTCGAAGCGCCGTGCTTTTTGCTCGGCATTTCCACGGCTTCCACGCGATGCCAGAGTCGAAGGCGGCTGCAATGGCCTGGGAGGCAGCGGCGCTTGGAGGAAGCGCAGCCACTGCCGGCTCTGTGGCTTTGGCGGTCGCCAGATTGCAGGACCCTGTAATGAAAGTTCTATACCAGGAAGTCGATGAGCTGGAAGCCCGCTTGGCATTGCACGGCGAGCGACAGGTTCGAGAATGTCGAGCTGCAGTGAGATGCGAGGCTGATATTCTGAGAGCGTCACACGAAGCACAGATGACGGAGGCGCAGGATGAGCTAACATATTTGCAAAGGCAGGTTGCTGAGCGTGAACTTTCCCTCAAAAAGAATAGCCGGCGATTGCTGGACATGCAGCTGCAAATTCAGAAGAAATGCCATATTCCAAACAAGCAAGATAGGCTTGCTGCCGAACAGGAGCATGAAATGGCGTGCGCAGCAATAGTGCAGTCAGAGGTGGCTGTACAGGAGGAACATGAGGCAGAGTGTGCCATTTTGAAGCGAAAGCTGGATCAGCACGACATGGTACCTCTGTCATGTGTTGCTGCAAACTTCGCGAGAAGCTGAAGCTGTGGAGTGCTGGTCGTTGCATAAAACAGACGTCTTCGCTTGCTTCGCAGCTCGGCTCGTCAGCATGGATGTAGCTCCGCACTTGCAGCTTTCTTGTAGTATCCCATCCCCATGTGTGGCGCCAACAAAGAGCAAGCGCGCAACCTGGCAGCAACAGCAGCAACAGCAGCGGCAATGCCACAGTTGCGGTCTGATAACTTCAGTGGCAATTGCGTACAGCCTGAACAGAACGACGAGAACGATGAGGAGCTCAGGACGCCGCTGCGATGAGCAAAAAGATGACCTGTCCAGGCGCAACCGGAAAGTTGCCGTGCTGTCTGCCACAGCCTATGCAGGATTCATTGCATCTCCGTTCCAGTCTTGGATGGACAAGTTGCTTCGCGAGTATCCAGACGATTCCCGTTGTACCAGAATCAGTAATGGATTGGAGAAGTTGTTAGCATCACGTGGCTCGCTTGTAGAGGAGAAGCTTCTCAACTGGTTCAGCCGCGAACACTCGGACTGGAGCCTCCTTGACCTCAGTGGGGCTGTCTCGAAGAAGAATGATGCTGGGCGACACGGAACGACGTGGTACCAGGCACGCGCGAACGAAACAGTGGAGGCGTTAAAAGCCGCAGAGGCCAGAGTGCTCTACCAAGCGCCCGTGTACGATTCCGGTCGGCGCTTCTTTGGGATAATCGATTTTTTGATACGGGGGGCGGAGGGAGACTATACTATATGGGATACGAAGCTGGCTACGCATCCAACGGCCTACCATGTCGCCCAGCTGATCGGGTATGCTACGGCACTTGAGTCGATGCTGGGTGACAGCAAGGTCCAGAAGGTTGGACTGGTACTGGGAGAAAATGCTGCGGAGCACGGTGCAGTCAGTGAAGTTAGCACAGATGGATTGAGAGCATCTTTCAACGAATCCTGGAGGGCTTTTGAACAGTTCAACAAAGCCTTCGATCCCAACCACCCACCCGATCCAGCAGAAGAGCCACAGGCCCACCTGACACGCTGGGGCCACGCAGCAAGAGACATATTAGCCAGTAGAGATGACCCTGCTCTCATTGCCAACATAACTCGATCTCAACGAGCAGCACTGAAAATGGCAGGTTTCGGGTCAATGAGAAGTATCGCCAAGATGCCACGTGAATTCACAGCCTTGTCGAAGGTGTCGCAAGACACGCGCATCAAGCCTCACACTCTGGAGCGGCTTCGCTTGCAGGCTAAACTACAATGTCGAACAAGGGACTTGGACGAGCCTGCTTCTGAAGTTTTGCCGAATGCTGAAATCGTTCTTGCATCCTTGCCTGAGGATGACCCTGGAGATATTTTCATCGATTTGGAAAGCTTGCCATGGCAGAAGCCACCAGCTGCCTCCCATTACTTGATCGGAGTTTGCACCCGACATGGAAGCTACAGGAGTTGGTGGTCACAGACGCACGACGAGGAGCATCGAAACACGTGCTACGTGCTCGATTTCATATTCAACCGCTTAGATCAATTTCCGAGGATGCATGCATACTGTTATGGCCATTACGAAAGAAGCGCCTTCTCGCGCCTGGCTCTCGGCCTTCCGCAGAAATACAAACGATTGGTCAACAGATTCATCGAGACACTCTTGGTCGACCTTTATCCCATTCTCAAGGGCTCAATAGTGCTGGGGCTGCCGGGATACGGCCTTAAGCAGGTGGAGAAGATGTACCGGAAGCTTTGAAGCCTCAGTTGGAATGGCAGTTTCAATATTCTAAGGCTCGTATGAGAGGACACTGGCTAGGTTGAGTTTCCAGAGAGAATGGTGGTGTAAGGACGACGAGGACAGATGCAGTGGCCGCGGCTGAAGACTCAATGATTGCGTACATGCACTGGCTAGATGCGCCTGACGGTGACACTTGCGCTACATCCCCAACGCTGCGCCACGTGGCATAACAGAATCATCTACGTTTTCGAGATGCCGATTCGCCGTTTCGGGAACAGGGAAGTGCATGGAGATGCCATGTAGTAAGGTCAGATTCGCGACTACAATTGCGAGGATTGCAGATCCACTCGACAGCTCTTGACCTGGCCACTTGGCTGCCCGCACTCCAGGAAAAAGAAGACTGCGGTTATGTAAGTCTCACTAGAAATACTCTAATAAGTATACGTATGCATATGCTTCTGCTCCCAGAGGAGGAGTAAGCAGTACAGATGCTGGAACCTCACATTCCGGACGATTGTAGTGCAGTAGCTGCAGCATTGGGCCTGTCTCCGTCTCGACGGTATCACCAAACTGCTCAAGCCCATGCGAATTGATTTGTTGCACTTTTGTTTGAGCTGCTTCTTGCCTCTTCAAGCTGATCGGCAAGGCTTCGTCAGAGATGTGTCGCTTGGCTGCTCGAGAGATCTCCGAGAAAGGGTTTCCAGTGACTGTGGCAAGGCAGCAAGCAGGGTTCTTCACACTCACCTCAGGCCGGTGTGCCGGTTTCACGAGATGCCCGACCAAACCACAGCAGCCGGAGTGGCTTGATTGCGGGCGTTTGGTGCGCATGCGCATGACAAATGTGTCTGCCACACATGGCTTGAAGTACGGCGAGGGAGCAGTATTTTCATGAGTCGTCGCATCAGGTTCTCGCAGGTCTGAAAAGAAGACAGTCCAGGAAGAGATGAAGAAAGCTGCAGCCCTTCGACCTGGAAGAACTGGAAAACAACTTTGTGGCTCTGTGCGACTATAACTGTAACATTATGGGAAGGGGCTGCGTCGTGGTACATGCCGATGCTGTGTGTTATCGGTATAGGAAAGTCCGAGGCCGACTTCCGCAAAGCGGCAGCTGAGAGATGTCGGCTCTGACTGCTGTGAGGGTGCCTTAGTGGTGCCTTCAGTTCCAGAGCTTAGCCTGAAGTGTTTAAGAATAGCCTTGAGTAAGTTTGGTCATGGCTACCAGGCTAGGCGCTCCAAAATCACGTGCAGTGCATCTGCCAAAGCTTCTGCGTTCACAGGGTGCCCTCTCTCTACAGCATGTGTCAAGTCTTGCTTGGCCGTTGTGTTGCCATGCCAGGCGCATTCAGAACTGCAGCAAAGCTCGTGGCCCGGAACTGCTGCCTTGGGAAGGTCTTTGCTGTTGCTGGCATCCTCTTGAGGTTTGGCTGAAGCTGGCCAGAAGCAGCTAGAGTTGTTCCAAGAAGCCCAGGCGACACTCGGCCAGCCTCACAGGAATCAAGCCGCATGGATGGTCGTCAGGATAAGTCGTCGCTTGAAGCTCTGGCTTGCGAACTCGCGCAACAGCAGGCCACACAGAATCCATCGCAGAACTGACGACATCACTCATGAAACGATCAGTGCCCTCCTTCGTCAAGCACGTCCAAGGCTAGAGCTTTGCCGCGAGTGGACTGGGAATCTCGAGGCCTTGTGATCACGAAGCTATGGAAACATTGACGACGCACGGACAATCATGGACGTCTCCTTGCTTGAGCGCGCTGCAGTGGTAGAAACCGGGTAAGTGTTGTTGGTAATGGTGGAGCAAGCAGCAGTATTCGACACTGCTGGATCGGGACGGCAAACTAACAGCAAGAACTCGTAGGTTCCATTGCTACGACTGCCCCAAAGAGCTGTTCCCGACATGTCAATCAAGCTTGCTACAACCTGCTTGTCCGTTTTGTCCGAACTCCAGGCTCAGCATCACTGCCACGAATACTATCGGTCCTCGTCATGGTACATCATCGGGTAGACCATTGAACTAGCTTTTGCAGTGGGGGGGGAAGCAATCGTCGCTGGGCTTGCCGGACACATTTCGTCCGTAATGCTAAGGATAGAAGTTCACTTCCGCCGGGATGTCCCGGGAATGTTACGCAGGGTGCACAAGATCAAGGGGTGACGAGGTACTTGAGGAAAGGAGCTGTGTGTCAGCTCTTTCCACTAAAGGAACGATGCAACTCTTCACATCGCGGACTCGACCGCAGTAGAGCAACATGTTCAGTTCTTTCGGATGCAAAACTTGCAACATGTCAACGTCTGTCCTAGACCTGTGAGATACCAGTGCCATGCAGTGCCTTCTTGCTTGTTCGCAGTTTGGCCTACTACGGTCGATGACCTTCACGGTTTTGTTTGATGTTCTTTCGTTCCCTCCGCCTTTCGCGACCGAATTCCGATGGCATCGACATCAACCCGTCACTTTGCTCTATGTCGGGCATGCTTAGGCTTAGACCAATCTACCGAGCCCTTTGGCTTTCGTATGGAGCGGTACCACAGCTTCGGACACAGGGGTGCCTGTGATCTGGTCGGCCTCTTCTGGTGGGTTTCGGCATTCTTGTGTCAACTTGAGACGGCGCAACCGTAGCCTCGCGCAGCAGCCGCATGGGATTGCATGGGCACAAGTACGATCTTATCAACATAAAGTAAAGCGGTGCGGTAGGAACCGTGGTCCACAGCTTCCGCCATGGTGCTGTGCACACGCTCGACCTAAATCGCAGCATTTCTGCTTGCCGACACATCCTCCTGAATGCGGGCTCCATTGCAACTTTCTGAAATAAAGTACACCAATCCTGAAAAAGCTGGCGGGCTAAATCTTGCTCCGACCAAACGTGGTTGCGATGGCTATGCCCGCTAGATCTAGCTCTACAATAACGTGAATGTAAAACCACTGTCCCGTGGTTGCCGGGGTTCCGAGCGTGTGCCTGTACGCACATTCCAACAGGTTTTTGCCGGGTGGAGTTTACATGATGCATCTGTATATAATTGTATATATATATATATACATATATATATATGCGTTACATACGTTACCTCAGCGCCTTCATGGGCTTAACTGCAGCAAGGAATAGCAGGATCAGGAATTGGGCTCGAATACAGAGTGAGGCCCAGCAATCGTTCAGTTTCATAGGTTCTACATCTTTCCCGACGATACCCAGATCTTTCGAATCTGCGGCCGCCTGAAGTTCGAGAGTCGACCCGGTATTATTTTCAGCAACGACCGTGGGCCGCTACGAGCTTTCTTGCTGCGTTCAAGTTACATGAAGTTAAAGTTACATGAAGTTACGCAGTTCACAACACATGGTGTTTGCGTGTGCATGTTTCCACATCACCGACATTGCAGCAATGTAGCTCCTCGCAGCCAGAAGGCTGCGAGGAAGAGAGAGAGAGTCCACGAAACTATGCCCAAAACTACCACGACACAGCGTACCGAACCTAACCCTATGACGACCGAGATGACGCTCTCTACTTTGCAGCGCTCCCACGACTCGAACATCGCCCTGGACGACCACGAGCTCGACAACAAGGATGGCCAAGCCAGAGCCGAGGACAGTGATGTACAAGCAGATGCCACGCACGAGACACACACGGGGACACCCCCAGACTCGAACTATGCCACTTATATGCCTGGCACCGAACTTCCTCGTGCCTCTGCAGCCGGTCCCTCCCTTTCGAGCCCGGGAAATCCCCGTTGACTATTGGGACAGTGGAACCCATGCAACACGACTACAGCCCTGATTTCGATGGTGGTCTTCAACCTCCTCCGGGGTCACCCCCAGACACCCCTTGGGGACTACCTGACCAAGATATGCAAGCTATTCTCCAACCGCTCCCCCCAGGCTGGGTGCACGGCCAAGGGTTTAGCAAAGGACTACATCCAACAACCGACGTCTTCGACCAGGACGACGAAGTGCCGCAACAGAACGCATGTGACAAGGGAGACCCAGATGGCCTTGGCTCAAACACAGGGGAAACCTCCCCGTGCGACAACGGAATCGGCAGTTTTCCATCTGGCTACCAGGACAACGAAGCGCCGCAACAGAGCGCGTGTGGCAATGGCGAACCAGATGGCCCTGGTACAAGAACAGGGAAAACTTCCCCGTGCGACAATGGAGCCGGCAGCATACTACCTGACTTTCAAGAGGGGACACACCCCGCTTCAGAGCCAATGCGTCCTGATGATGACAGCCCCAGCTCAACCTCTGGGGAACAGGCCATAACCCAGGAGGGCCATGAAGCGCACGAGGACACCTCCAGGTACAATAGTGGCCCTGGTGGAATACCTGAACCGAGGGGAGAACCCTCAAAGCTCACTTCACAACAACGAGTACGTCTCCACGAACTACTACGCTCCGGAGACCTCGAGGGGCTGGACAGAAGCGCAAGTGATGAGGACCTTTGGCGAGCCTACAGAAAGAAGAAGAGCGACTACAGGGCGCTGCGGAAGCGCAAACGCGCAGATGGGACTTGGAGGAAAGACGATGGCCGGGGATGGGCCCCCCCGCATCCCAACAGAGAGCGGTCACCCTTACCAAGAAGGCGGGCAACTTCTTCGGCGCGACGGGTGACACCTGAGAAGCCTTGAGAGAGCAACTTCTGTACAGCCCACACTGGGGGAAACCCTTCTTTCCTTTCATGATATTTACAAGCTGATTACTGCGAGCACAACGGCATGCACGACATGATCTCCTTTTTCTCCTTACCTTGAAGGGGACTAATCCCCCCCTGGAACTTTTGGTTCCCTGTAACATATGACGGGCCGCTGGAGCCATTAAACGCACCTTCCACAGCCTCCGCTCGAGGCATAAATTAGCTGCCGAGTGCTTCAACCTTCATGTCACGGCTGGCAGGGGATGGAACTCTTCTTACATTTGCAATCTTGTTGGTTTGTTTGTTTCCGTGGCCGGAGTGCAACTTCCCTTGGGTTAGCCAGTGTTGAGCCTCTCAGAGCAAAATTGCCTCTTTTGAGAGAGCCCTTTTCTCTATACGCCCCAGCACCAGTCGGGGGCGCCGACGGCGCGCGGGTGGGGGGGGAAACTTCCCTCATCCATAACCCTGCCGAAAGAAAGGAAAAAAAAAGACCTCCCGGAGTCTTCGCTTCCCTGTAACATAGGACGGGCCGCCGGAGCCGTGACACGCACAAACCTCCGCCTCCGCTCGAGGCACAAATTCGTACGCCGAGTGCCACCACCTGATCTTTAAGGCTTGCAGGGGAACGAACCCTAACTGTTTTATTATTTACATGGTCCCGCTTCGTTGTTGGAATGCAGTTTCCCTTGGTTTAGCCAGTGAGTGATTGATCTCTCAGAGCAAAATTGCCTCTGGGGAGAGAGCCTTTTTTCCAAGTACGCCCACACACCAGTTGGGGGGCGCCGACGGCGCGCGGGCAAAGGGGGAAACCCCTTTGTCCCTAACCCTAACGAAAGAAAGAGAAAAAATGACAACCTGAAGGAAGAAGAAAAAAGAGAAAGAGAGAGATTCACAGTCTCTCCACAAAGCCCATAAGACATGGGTGGGCTTTTAGGCTGAGGGACTTCGGACGGCCGTCAAGCCCAGGAGAGAGAGCGAGAGAGAGAGTGAGAGAGAGAAACGCAGAGAGAGAGGTGGGGGTAGAGAGAGAGCGGAGGAGAGCGAGAGTGGAGTGCACAGCCGGATCCCCTGACAAGGGCTCCCTGCCTACGGTGGATGGCCTTAGGGTCCGTAAGAAATGCATTGTCGACTCGGAACAACTCTGCCCACACCAGAGAAAGAAAGCGTGCACGAGTCCCGTCGAAGAATTTAAATTTAATCGTCAAAGCCCGTGACACTGATGCAGGCCGCCTTGTCTTTCATGCAGTCGACAGCAAGCACAAGTGTGGAGGAGCAGGAGATCTCAGACAGTCTCGCACATGCTTCTGACGCGTTCCTGCTATGAGATGGGTGGTAGCTTTGCTTCATCGGCAGAGCTGCCAATGCTCAAAGGCTCCACCAGCTGGACCAGCAGAACGAGTGCTTGGTCCAGGATTTCACTCGTAGCTCTTGGATCAGGTTTGCAGGTGCAGTTTGGCCCGTGCCGGGATGAATAGTTAGTTAGAGAGAGAGAGTGTGTGTGTGTGTGTGTGTCTGTGTGTCTGTGCGTCTGTGTCTGCAGTGCTTCCTGTGAGTCTACACATCTTGCGCAACCAATGCACAACATACCAGAGCCGATGATTCCAGGACACTACGGTGAGTGTATCAGCCTGCCAAGGACACTCGCTCAAGGAGACACTCGGAAGTTGTGGAGGGAAACCGGGCATGCGACCATCATTGACTGTAATACGGTGCGAACTGGAGGAGGAACGAGAACTGTCCTCTGCAGAGCTACAAGAGCTCCTGCAGGTAAGAGATTCTCGCAGCCTGCACGAGTTCGCCTGAAGATTGAGTGTGGCAAGCAGGCCGATGACACCCATGTCTTGGACAAGCAGCTTCAAGAAGCCGAACAATGTCGCATGAAGCTAGAGGCGGAGTCACCTAGAGTTTGCGCAGAGTATTGGCAAGTTGTCACCGTTTGGCGAGGAAACCGTTGCAGCTCTGAGACATGATGCTTTGCAACTCCAGGCTTCAGTGGCCTTGCACAGGCCGCATCGATACGACATGAGTCAAAATCTACGGAGTTGCACCTGCTCGACCCAGCTCAGGGCCACGAAGGAGCTGCAAGAGGAGCTCGCGTCCGCTTTAGAACGCAAGGTGCCGTGCTTTGTGCAGCCAATCGGGTTCTGCCGATTTCCAGCGTGGTCCACTCCTAGTGCGAAGATGGGTTGGTAATAAGGAAGCCACCACTCGCAGTGGAGACGAACTCTTGGTGGAGGCACGGCATGCAAAGCTACAGCCCGAGCACGAGCACACCATCGGCTTTGTAAATAAAAATCCAAGTCGGAATATAGACCTACATATCACTTTGCCGTATATCCATATTCTTATTCATGGAAAATCCAAGTTTTCCGCTCTGGTGTTAAATCGTATTTTTTATGCAGACTGGAATGTATCAAACTGACATAAGCCGACATTTGCAGTCTGCATTATGACATTTATTTCAAAGCACACCGCTCAGACGTATTGTCCAATTAGTCTCCTAATGGTCGGTGAGGTAGGCTTGGTATTTCGAGGTCAGTTGTCTCGCTGCTAGAAAGAACTGCCCATTTGTTTGATCAGTGGCCGTTTTTGCGATCAGCCGATCGGCCAGGATTTTCGATCGTCGGCGTGCGACGTGCACGTTCCCTCCTGCTGCTCCCTGCACCGGCCCAGCTCCCCAGTTCGGGTTGCCACGACGATTGCCCGCGGGCACACGCCCGGCCAGGCTCAGGCCGGGGAGGGCGGCTCCGCCAGCCTCAGGTGACGGGGGACGGAGCAACTGTGGTCACGCTATGGTGAGCTGGTGTTGCTTCACGTCAGCAAGTGTGGTTTTCGACTTCATTCTTGGAACGGGCAGACCTATGGCCGACTGGGTCTTGGAATCACACACAGATCAGATGCACATAGTTCACCCAAATGCTACGACGTCTCAAGGTACATTTTTGGTCTTAGATATGTTTAGCTTCGTGTACATATCCGCGTGACGTGTACATTCGTTCCTTGGTTCGTCGAACTCAATTTATCCATCCGTCCATGATCTATGTACCTATATCTCCGTAGCAGCTGTCTGTCTGCCTGTCGTTCTCTCTGTCTACCTGTCATTATGCATCTGTCTGTCTATCCTCTCTCTCTCCCTCTCTCGCTCTCGCTGTCTCTCTCTCTCTCTCTCTCTCTCTCTAATTATGTCACTACCTATCTATCTATAGCTATCTATCCATCTATCTATCTATGCGGGCGTCCTGAGTCCAGCCGCCAGTCTCATGTTGACCCTGAGACCGAAGCTAAGGTGGATCCTGGTTCGAGAAACTTTACCGCGCGACTTCGCGCCCGAAGCCGTCGTAAATCGTTATGTGCTTTTTCCTTAAGCTCCGACCGCAACAATTGACTGAAAAGGGTGAAAACCTGGAGAGTTCCAAGACCGTTTCAAAACAGTTGCTGGTAATCGAAGACCATCTGGCATGAGCTCAAACAAGGGCACAGCTGCCATTTTTCTGAGCGACGGCCCGAAACTTACCAACCAAGCTACTGGAGCCTTTCAGGTGGCACAACAACATGCACGTACAGAAACCTTGAACGACATATACCACAGGCAACACGAGCGACCCTTGCCCGAGCGGCCACATGCAGCGTGACCAAACAAAGTTTGAGCAGCCTGCCCCACAGCCACGATGCTACCAGGTATGACTGCCGGGCTTGTTTGGCTCGGAAACTGTACCCAGCTTCACCCGTTAACAGAGAAGCGTCGGTTTCAAATGGCAGCCGTGTATAGCAGCGTCATCTCCTCGAAGGAAAGGAATGCCATTTGCACGAGCGTGACTTGTGTTTCCTGGAGCTTTCATCATCTTTCGTCAGTGAAATCAGGATGGAATCGCCATGCGTTTTTCGGGCACGCCTCCTTCTGATCAACTTCGAAAATAGGGGCTTGGCTTTCCACATGGCCACCTCCTCCACCACAAGAGCGTGACTCCGAGTGAAACCCGGCCTACCCTAACAATCCCTAACAAATTGGACTGTTCCAGGCCTCCTGGTGTCAACTTCCGTTGGTGCGCTTTGCGTTTCTCTGCAAACTTTCGCAGTTCCTGTAGTGGCGCTGCCCTTAATCTCATAGTATTAGTCTAGGGCATGCTGCATGCAAGGTATACATCTAAGGTTTCATGGGCTGCCTGTTTGCTTTACATGTGGGTGGGCGAGTCGCGTGTTGCGGTGTTTGCTCGGTCAGATTCGACAATGGGGACACAAATTGCGGCCAGAGGACCCAGAAATGCGGTGGATTGCGGTGGCAACTCTTTCTCATTGTGACAGACATAGAGATGCTTTCGATACCATTGACTGCAGGACTCTGCTTTTCGTGATTCGCGCCATCCGCCGTCATCTCCTGTTCAGAAGGGAGAACATAATCTCAGCTTGGAGTCCCTGGAGTCCCCGGCTCAGTATCCTTCCATCCATGCAGAGGTAACGACAGCGAGAGTTGTGCGAGGCACGAAGTACAAGTTGCCGAAGAGGTGCGTTGTCTCGATGGCACTGCAAGTTGGCGACAGCAATGTCTTTGTCATTCGTGCATATCATGTTCCACCGCTGAGTGAGCGTATCAGCGAGAAGCCATTCCGACGTTGACGTGCAGACATCAAAAAGTTGTAGCTCACATAGAGTCAGGCGGTTGTAGCGAGACTGGGTATCGTAAAGCGACGAAGCTTCCGGAAAGCAACAATTCGATTTGTGAAGAAGTGCGACTAACTTCGTGAGAAAGCAAAAACAAGCGAAGGTAGCTGAATTTGGCTTCTTTTCGATTTCTGGGCAAAACTGACGTCGTTTGGATCTGAGCCTGGCAGGAACCAATATTCGGCGCTGCTTCGGGTAATGAGCATGTTTTTGAGCTTCTGGCAGCCAATCCAGTTTGTTTTTGTAGCATGGTCGCTCCAAGACATCCCGCAAAGAGGCAGAAACATGTTCGGGTGTGTCGTGATTGTTGTTCTTGTCGTGCTTCCCGTCTGCCGTTCTTGCAACAGTAACGAACGCCTCACCCTCAAGCTGCGCGTCCAGGGTCGAGAACGACTATGCATGTGTCCATGTATGTAGAAGTGCCATGTCACGGCCTCGTATTGCATTCGTTGTGCACTGGGCTGCCAATCAAGTAAAAGTGTTGCAAGAGCTGCCCCGAATACTTCCACGTTCAAACTATGTCACTACTTGCACCTTTGTCTGACCACCTGCACGAGTGTTTCGTTCGAGCCTCACGCCGCATCCAATCTGATACTGAGCGGGGCACTTGAAGATCTGTTGCCGACCGGTCTTTCCAGGCATGAACGAAACCCTTGCAGGTGCCTTGATTAGGGCTCCTTGTCTGGCGACTGATGCATTGCTTCGGAATTCACGCGTGGTCACGCCACGTCATGCCATGTCAGGAACGTCAGCAGGCATTCGACACATGTCTTGTGAGTCCACAGTCCACTCGCCAGGCACTTCTGGAGGATCTCTCTGCCAAGCTTGCTGCCCGCGAGAAGCGGGTCGATGCCTCGGGGGTCCCATGAGCGGATCAGGACATTCGTGTCTAACTCAGAAACGCTGGCCCCCTGTATGCAAAGTGTGAGCTCCGTCGCAGATGCAAGCAAGCCGCGAGTTGGAAACACTTTTGATCAGCAGGTGCACTAAGTTGTATCTCCGGCGTGCACAACAAACAGAGTTCTTCGGCATGGTCGGAGTTGCCCTTTCGACTCTTTAGATTCTTCGAATGTTATCGTGCATCTAGATCAACTTGAGGAGCTGTGAAGAAGCACGCAAATGTAACTGGACATCTTCAGAGAGATGTTGAGAAGCCATGGACTGCGAGATCGGTTCAAGGATGGCAGAAAAAGCTCGTGATGAGCACTCGGCTCATGACTTTTACGTTCGATGTCGGATTTGTGCGGCGATTGCTGAAGGGCCCGTAATTTCCCTGTGCATCCGGGTTTCCAAGCTGGTGTTGCTCGGGGTTTCAGAAAATCGTTCGACTGTCCCTGTCGATACCATGTCGATCCTTTGGCTACAATTTCACCGTGTGGGCACGAGACTCGACACGGAACAGGGCACACTGTTGCGCTGTTTGCTTGTTTGTTGGATCTTGCTGGGTATGTAGATGCGAGGGTCGAATGAGCAAGCAGCAAACGACTTCTGCAAAGCTGTTTGCTGCAGGGTTGAGGAACATCGGAACCCATACAAAGTCTCACTCTGGTAGAGGCGCGATGTGATGCAGAGCCGCCTGAGCATCGGCAAGGCATGGCCTCAAGTACAGGCAACATTAACAGTCTAGGCGGCTCAAGGCGCCCACAGCTTCAACCCAAGATACAAACTCGTTAGATTTTGCGTCGATGCTGCAATCTCGCTGTTCGTATGTAGACTCCGAAACATGTCTGACGTGCTACGGCCAAGCAGTACTCGTGCAACAGTGAGGGTCAGGCATGGTCAGGCTGGAGTCGGGGCTTGACGAGTCAGCTCGTGGGAGGGCCCATCTGAGGTACAGTTTCTGGCGAGCAGATGGCTTCACCGGCCGGGGCTTGGCAGTGCTCCGGGCTAGGCCAAATGAGATATGCCCAGGTCGGCTCGGCTCGCCGGAGTGCATCGAAAGCAGACTGCAAAAACAAAATGAGCTTGCACGTACGAGTGCCTGTAGCAGTAGCAGCGGCATGCAGCGGCGGCATTGGGCGACAGATGAACATTGGATGGACTGTGGACTTCCTGCATCACTGTGACTGGAACATGATGTTGTTGCCATGCATATCATTTTCGGCTTACCCGCAAAGTTTACAGCCCGCCATTTTAACGGGAGTTTTGGGAGGCCATTTGTGCCAGGCAGCGGGAATTTAGGAGAATGGCACTTGTCTCAGAGACTTCGGATCTCTCAAAAGATGTTCGAGGAAAGCTGTAGGCCTGTAGGCTCTGGGCATGTTGTGCCAAGGTCGATGCCGCCGAGGCCTTGACAGCCAGTGGGATGCAAAAACTGAGATCATGGCAACGCCTTCTCTGCAAAAAGGAAGGTTCAACGCGTGTCGTTGCTGCTCTTTCGACCACGCTGTCCCACCGCTTTGGTCACCACAAGAACAAGACAGGTAGCAAATGCGCTACACTACCTCCTTCGATGCGACATCTCACTGAGACCTTTTCGTGAGAGACCGCTGTCAGTGCTGTGTCCAGGCGCTCTGCACTATAGCTGTTATTCTGTGTCCCTTGATCATGTGTGGCGAAAATCTTCAAAGCAGAGCCCCGACACATGTGCCGGCATGGAACAGCAGGGCAAGCAACTTGGGTCTCATGGAGTGGGAGGGTAAAACAAACTACTTGTACATAGAAATGAGGCACATGCAGCCGCATGAGACGCCGGCCCTCAGGAACAGGGCTCCAACAAGCAGCCAGGTTTGGTGGCAATTGATTGCAAAATGTTGCATAGCAGCCGGTTGTGAAAGAAGAGGGCTTGTGGGGACATGATGAGATGAAATTGTTTGCTTGCCACGGGGCTATCAAGTCAGACGAAGCTGTGTCTCCACTTATGTAAGACTCAATGTTCACACGCTGAGATGCCCCTTTGGGCAAGATTCAGTCAAATTGGACACCTTCGCTGGTCACCGTTCCGATGCTAATTTCTGTTCCTTTATCGTCTCTCTCGTTTTCATGTGTGTCTCTGTGCAGCAGTCCAGATTGATACTTCGAGCATCCTCGCTGCTTGCAGAGCTTTGCCGATCCGCCCGGCGGCACCTCTTTTTGCGGTATGTAGAAGTTAGATACCCGTTCGCACAAGGCCGAGGCCGCGCAGTTGGATTTTGCCAGAAGCAGTCAGAGATCCATCTGGAAGATCCCCATATATATCCCTGGTTTTTGCACACCTTGGATGCCTGCTCTTACAAGACCGCTACCACTGGTACCCTCCGTTGCCGTTTCTTGAGCAAGGGGCTCGTGTTGAAAAATGTTCGCAAGATTCTGCTTCTGGCATTATATCTATATCAACTCTTTAAATGTTGATTCGGCTTAGAACACTAACACTTGCATTGGAATCGAGATCGAATCATGTTGTTGAGTTGCTCGAGATTCGTCACACTCAATCTCTCTCCCTCTCTCGCTCTCCCTCTGCAGCGCCCTTGATTACAATGCTGCGGTCTCATGCGATTTCGTGATTTTGTGGTCCCCCTTCCTCTGTCGAGACCAAGGTCCCGTAATCCGGGTCGGCCGCGTACCCTAAGAGGAGCGGGTGGTGTGCGAGAGGTTTGCCGATTTTCTTAACCCGACCTGGATTCCTCCATCGTTGATGCGTCGCAGCGCAAGCTCCTCAAAACGTGGAGTGCGGACGTGGACATCGATGCTGGAATAAACGTGGTGGCCGGCGGATACGGAGGTCGAGCAGGGGGGATTCTGGTCGGGGTGAAAGCGAGACTGCGGAGGTCGGCTGGGAATTGGCCTCGAAGATTCCTGGAAGGCCAGGAAAGTGTGTCAAGCATCAGGGTCAATGTCAACGTCGATCCGGACAGCTTCAAATGACTGCAAGTCGGCATAAAATCCTTCACAAAGCAGAAGCTCCTTCCTGTTCCACCTGCACTCGCCCCATGGTCTTTGCGACGACGTCCTACAGTTCAGCTTGTGTAGTTGTCGAACAATGCCACATCGGGTCTCGTGGAAGAAAGGTTGTAATTCTGTTCGTTCAAGGCGAAGTTGGGCGCCCAGGGCCAAGTTGTGGTGCCCCAAGCAGGGGGGCGGCGGTTTCTCGAGGAGAGTCAACAAGTAAGCCAAACTCCAGCTGTCAGAATCCAAAGCACTCTGCTCCATTCACAGAGTGTTGCAGTCCGGCCAAAGTCTCCGACGGAGTGGTTGGGTTCCTTGCACCATGGAACATCGATGAGATTCGGTCCGTCCGAACTTCCGCGTACATTATTTCTACAACTTACACTTACAACTTCCGAAACTCGCTGTTTCCCCACGGCCTCGGAGCAGGACAGCACCAGCTGCCGGGGATTCCGCAGCAGACTGTGATTCGTACGTGTTATGGGATGTGAGAGTCTGCTGTAGATGCGGACAGTGCGTCCCGTGGCATGCTTCTCCACCGGAGCACCAGCGTGGCTCCCAGCCACCCCAGCCTCTTGTCAGATCCAGCCACGCAGTGATGACTCTGTGACTCGTACAAAAGCCGAGAGAGAGAGGGAGAGAGAGAGAGAGAGAGAGAGAGAGAGAGAGTCCTCTCGCAGAGGCCAGCAAGGGGGAGACCCCTGATAACAACCACGCATCGTGAACGTCAACCATCGCATCGCCGTCGTCGATTACAAGCAGCTCTGGCGAGTAGCAGCGACAGCGAAAGTGAGTTCGACTGACGAAGTCTGCTGAGAGGATAGAGTAAGGCCGCAAATTTCTAGGGGGGATCCCCTTCTGTGCACACACCAAGTACAGTATGGAGATGTCTTCGTGGATCGCAGTCGGAAGTGAAGAGATGATTATGGTATATTTTAGGTGTTGGTCTTGGTTTGGTTGCTTTCTTTGTGTTCCTACTGCCGGCGACTGACGATAGACTTTCTTGGCGTGCTTTGCCTTCAAGTTCAAGTTCCTTGACTTCGGTAGGTTCCCCGAGGGCTTACTTGTGGTTCATGGTTCCTTTTAGTTTCGCAAGGGGGCAAAGCCGTGGGAGTGAATCCAACATACAGAGCTGGAAACTCGCATTGTCACAGGCAGCCTACCCTCCGGGGGAATCCCCGTCTTTCATAAGTACGAGTGCACTGATCGTGGCTTTCACCGGCGTGCAATTTTCCGGGGGGTTGTCCGCTTGAGTTTACGTCTCCACCGGCAAATATTGCCTTGATGGAGTGAGCCCTTCCCACATACGCCCTCTGCAATAGTCAGGGGCGCCGACTGGCGCGCGGGCAAAAGGGGCTACCCTCTTGCCCATACCCCTGCAGAAAGAAAGAGAGAGAGAGAGAACGAGAGAGAGACACCCAAATTGGTCTGGCAATCCTAGCTTCTTTTGAGCACACATGCGCTAGTCAGCGTCCGAATTCGGGGGATGAAGGCACCACTTTCAATCCAAGCCGTATAGCTCAGTGGAAGAAACCCAGCAGATTTTTCCTTCTACGCTTTCATATCCGCCTGGAGTGCGGGAGGGGACACAGCAGCCTTTATTATGTTGGCCGGAGCCTTACTTGCTTGTTGACAGTCGTACTTGATGGCATCGTCCCTTACCTTTACCAGCTCCGGGGGATTTTTACTTTCCGTGCAAAGCCGAGCCCCCTATGGCAATTTCCCGTAGGGGGGCCATGAGACCCCTCGAACCGCAGGGGCGCGCTCGCGCGCGGGGGGTAGAGCTGGACCGCTCTGCTCCTGTTACCTGGTAGAGAGAAAGAGAGAGAACATGCCTTCGGGAAGCATTCACTCAAAAAGCCGTCTGCTTCAAATTTGTGTAGAGTTTTGGCCAAGGGTTCGGACGCCATGGGCTGCCAAAGCGCTTCAAGCCACCATGGCGACACCGCGCATTCAAGTCCTGAATTTGCAACATCTTCGAATTGGGCGGACAGTGGGGTGTGTGGGGTGGGGCATTCCGCCAGTACATGAAGCTGGGGTTTGTTGCAGCTGGCAGACCGTCTGAGCTGCCCGGGGAACATGGAATGGTTGCAGCCGGACAGGTGGAGGCGCTTGAAACCCTAGTTACAAAGTTGAAGGAGGACAGCTCTTCGATATGTGCTTATCAAATTGCCGGCTGAGCCTGTCACACCATCGAAGGATCCATCCTTGGTTTATGATCCCAAGCTCGCATTCTTCAAGGACAGCTGCTTCTCACAAGAAACCATCGATGCCGTTGAACTAATTGACCTGACAAACTTCGAGGAATTCGTTCTTAGCTGGGGCGCCAAGGCGGAAGCACTTTGCATCCAGTAGCACGGGTCTTGCAAGGTCTGACCAAGCAGACTAGGCCCCATTGTGTAGCACCAATAACACCACTCTTTGTGCCTCTATGTATAAAGAGTCGGAGCGATTCAGTTGTACAGTTTGAAGAGGTGCCGGAAGCAAAGCCGAAGCCCAAGGAGGAGCCAAAGGTCCGGTTGATGGGCCGCTGATCTGTATTGAAGGAGCTTGAACCGTCCATGCAGAATCCTGCAGGCCCCAGCTGCAGAGCCGGTGCGGGTCCCCATTCGTCTGTGGAGCTTTCTTTGTCACGGCCGGTGCGAGAGGCCAACGAGGACGAAGAAGAGGAGACTTCGAGACACGTTGAATGAACCGAGTCAGCGTCAGCCTCGCCTTGCTGCCCTCCGTCTCAGGATGAAGAGCCTGAAGAGCCTGAGGACCCGGACCCAGAACGCTTGGAGGAGGAGCGCAGCCTTCGGCCCCCGCCTGCCACAACGAATTGTGTTTCCTTCCAGCGCATGAGGTGACGGGACCGAAAACGGCAATTGCAAGTGACGTCTGAAGCTACGGCAGGGGCTTCCGGAACGTCCCCAGACTGAGCAAGACTTGGTGCACAACCCGTCTTTGCTGAAGTGTGTGTGGTTCTCACTGTTGCGGCGCTGGGTGCCCTCGTGTTGAATTCCCAGAATTGGTTTGAAGGCAGTTAGTTGCAACTGCGAATCCGGGTATGTGTTGCCTGGACAAAACGATGAGAAGAATAACTACCGTGATAATGACGATGGTCGTCATCATCAAAGTCATGATCACTCGATGACCATCATGACGAACAGGGAGGTGACAAGTTCAGAAACAGGCTAAAGCTGCTACTAGTGGAGCTTTGCTGTGGCAGCTTGAGCCATGCGGCAGCTTTGACTAGACTCAGACCTGCGCAACGATCGAGTAGTAATAGTGAGGTGAGGGGATCGCAAGTCGTCTCCCGGTCGGCTCTCCAGGATCCCGAGCCATACCCTCCGCAAGGACCGTGCCGGTCTAAGTTTGGCACTAAAATATCGATCGGCCGGAAAAGGCAGCTTCTTTTATGCCACAGGTCAGAAAACTGCGAACTCAGCGACAGTGAGCTTGACAAGCAGGGTGAGTTGAAGCAGGCGTACGTCGTCGCATGTCGTGCAGGTTAGAGCGCAGGAGTGCTGGCTGCTGGCCTCGGTCACGAAACTTGCCACAACGCAGGCGGCTGCAGAGGCACAGGAGGACGGCAATCTCGCGAAGGCACTCGAGAAGTTGACCGAGGCGACCAGAGCAAACACGGACATTCTGGGGCATACAGGCCACACGGGAGTGCTGTGTTTTGATGACAAGGCCTTCCAAATTGGAAACGTTTCTGCAATGATGCTCCGAGATGCAAACCAGTTCATAATTTGTGATCATGTCATTCATGTAATTGCATCTGCTAGCATCTTCTCAACAGAACAGCCGAGGTTTGCAAAGCGAGCCGAGCTTCTGCTGAAGCTCAAAAGGCCATGTGCCTGCATAGCCTCGAACTTAAGAAGTGGAAGATCCATCTTTGTTAGCAGCCTACGGCTTGGCACCGCGACACCAGGCTTGTCGGAAAGATTGGCTCAGTAGCCATGAGTGCGTAGCTCGCCATGGGTCAGTGTGCTCCATTTCTTTGTAGCCCAAGTTTGGAAAAGGGCGTGCCGAGCCTTGCATGAATGCAATGAAATGCAGTCACAGAATGATGGCAGCTGGAGTCTTTACTGACGATCGCCCCAGTCAACATCGACACGAGGAAGGAATGAACTTGCAGATGACACGAATGTACGTATAGTAGGAGTCAAAGGCGCTGATATAACTGGCAGTGCAGAACATATTGTACGCTCATGCATCTTCTGTTGAATTGAACTGTTCCATTGCCCTGAGATCTTCTGGAGTCCGACCTCGCCCGATGGTTGAAAACACGAGTTCCGGGCTTCAACAGTGCAGCATTCTGAGGAACTATGATGCAGGCTCGCACATGGTGTCCAAGCAGCAGCTCGAGGAGGCGTTAGCGCGCTTCAATGAGGTCGGAGCAACGTCCGTTCAGCCACTTCAGCTCGAACAGAGACTTCGTTGTGTATTATTTGGTCCTTCGGGCACCTGCACCTGACATGTCCGCAGTGCCATTCCAAGGTCCTTGAGGCCTTCGTCTTTAGGAAGCGAAGCTTGGAAGCACTCCTTCAGCATCGCTGCTGCCCTGCTTCGGGGCATCCATCAGCACGTTCCCAGGGTTGTGAGGACTCCGACTGCTGACTTCAAAAAGCTTTGAGTAACCACCCAACGAAACTTGCACTTCCAAAACACGTTCCTGACAGGAGCGTCGAGTTTGCAGAGGGCGCAGACTGCAAGCCTTACTACTCCAAGTTGCCAAGTGGGGGCCGAGGGGTCGTGGCAACGGTTTGCGTCAAGCTCTCCCAGAAGGAGGCGATGCATCGTGCAAGAGCAATCAATGTGCACATGTGCATGATGCGTGTTCTGTTGAGGCCTCGTTCGTGACTGCATCTTACCGAGGTTTATGGTGAGATTGCAACTAGATCACGAATCGGCGCTTACGTGCGGCTGGGATCAGAGGTGATTTTCGCTCATCATGAACCACCGACAGACCTCAGTACGGAGCCGCTTTTACTCGAAGTTTACGGATTCGATTTTCCAGTCCTGCCGGAGACCATCAAGCTGCGGCGGCACCTGAAACAAGTTTTGGGTCAGGATTATTCGAGAAAATCAGCGGCCGCGTGGTACGAGAAGCACAAAGATGAATTCTGCCCGCTGAAGGATTCCAAGCTTCGCCGAATCCTTGCATCTGTCTTTGAAGTGTTCCTGAGACTTACTTGGCCCACTTGCTTGGTATTTTTGTTGGGATCGATGTTGCTTTGGTATCTCAACCGGCAAATTTTACCTGATGGGACTGCACGGCCGCTGCGTAATTGCAAGCCAATGCAGGCATTCCCTGATGTTCTTGCCGGAGTGGGCTGTGAGCCGTGCATTGTGGGGCATGCTCAACATCTGCACGCTCACGTGCCCTTGGCTGATGGTCCTGGCGGGATCACTTTACGTCGGGGGCATGCATGTCGTTTGTAGGAAGATTGGTTGAGCATAGCCTTTGGCAGTCCGGCTGCTGCCTCCGCAAGTGTGCAGGTACATCGGCTTCGAATTTTGGGACGAGGGAAAAAATGGCATCAGGGTGACGGTACAGTCCAGTACGCCCGCCGATCCAGATGATGTCGAATGCCTGCAGCTGCTTGGCTAGTTTCGTGCTCTTGCTCACGCTAGCGTTTCTGCGCATACCCATACCCGGTCGAAGGATCTGACCCTTTCCAACATACAAAGCTAACCGAAAGTTTCCAAGTTCTTATTGCCCCGTGATCAGACAGACTAGGCGACGAATGGGCTGCCAGTGCAGAATGCCACAGTAGGACTGGAATTACAGAAGGCAAAGATTCGTGCCGCAAACATGACTCGGACAGCGACGCTGAAAAGCAAGTCTGCTTGAAAGGTAGTGGAAGGCAGGACAGCACACCGTGTACAAAGGTCCCTAGCAGCAGGTAACTAGCAGCTTGTACAGTGCCAGTGTCAGCTGGATCTACTGATCTTGAGTTTGCCTGATTTGCTCCCACAGGCTGAGAACGAAGCTCATGCAATTGGGCATATTTGCCAGATCATCCCCAAGAACATCCTCCCAAGTATCATCGACACACTTGTTGCTACTGGTTATCGTTTACATACTTGTTTTAGAATTGTTCTCGTGTCACTTAAAGCTGGGGATGGTGGTGGGAGACAGTGGGAGTGGCAACAGTAGTAAGAAGACTATTGCTAGCAGTCGCCGTAGTAGCCGTGGTCGACGCAGTCGTAGTCGCAGTATTCGCAGCGGCCAGTAGTCATAGTCGCTATCGTCGCCGTCGTCGCCCATAGTCGTAATATTCACCGTCGCCGTCTTAGTAGTAGTAGTAGTAGTAGTAGTAGGTAGTAAGTAGTAAGTAGTAAGTAGTAAGTAGTAAGTAGTAAGTAGTAAGTAGTAAGTAGTTAGTAGTTAGTAGTAAGTAGTTAGTAGTTAGTAGTTGGTGGTTAGTAGTTAGTAGGTAGTAGTTGGTAGTTAGCAGTTAGCAGTTAGTAGTTAGTAGTTAGCAGTTAGCAGTTTGTTGTAGTTAGTAGTTAGTAGTAATAGTAGCAGTAGTAGTATTAGTAGTCGTCGTCG